CATAAGTGAAAAACTCGAAAGATAGTCGAATATAATTAGTATAATTAGGAAAATTCAACTGGAAAATCGAAAAGTTGCGAATATGAAAAATTAAAAAATTATGAAAATGCAATTCGAAAATTGATAAGTCAATGAAACGTTACTGGATAACTAAGACAGTGCAATTAGAAAATTGAAAAGTTTTTGGAATATTACTGGAAGATTTGACTAGTGCGATTAGAAAATTGAAAAATTGACGGAATATTATTGGAGAATTAGGAAAATGCAGTTGGAATATTGAGAAGTTTTTAATGCATAATTAGAAAATTACAAGTGGCCAATTGTTATATTATTACAGAATATTATTGGAAAATTAGAACGGTGCAATTAGAAAATTGATAAGTCAGTAGAATATTACTGAATAATTAGGACCGTGCAGTTAGAAAATTGAAAACTTGTTGAAGTATAATTTGCAGATTACAATTAGCCAGTTATTATATTATTAGTGAATATCATTGGAAAATTAGAAAATCGTAAAATGGTTGAAGCGTTATTAAAAGATTACAAGTGTCAAACTGGAGAACCGAAGTTACACTAGAATATAATTAAAAAGTCAGACAAGTGCATTGAGATGTGATAAGCAAAATGGCGAGAGTAGTGCAATGTATAGAACCGAAAAATGCAATTGAAAAACAGGAAGATCATCAAAACGCACTTGAAACATTACGCAAGTGCAAGGAAAATTACAGTCAAGAATGTCTCTAACACAGCTAAAACGTCATAGAAGTGCAATTTCAAAACAATATCAAAACGTAATTAACTACAGAAACTAAGGATAAAATTCGATCGACGAGAAGGCAGCACTACGTCACAATAATTTTCGACAAATAATTCAGAGCAAACCGAAAATGATCCATCACCCAGGTTCCCCCTTAAATCAGCCCGGAGGTCGGTGGCTGCAGTTGCACCACGAGCTGACACCCGAGGCTGCTGAGAAAAGATCAGTGAGAGGGAAGGGTTTGGCTGACGTACCGCTTCGACGTTCGCCTTGGTGAGATCTTTGTGCAGCTTCCTGAGATGGATCAGCGTGAGGGCGACGCAGATGATGTTGATAGCGATCCATAGGGCGTTCAGTATGTAATGCCGGAAAGGGCCGTGCACCAGGGGGCAACTCGGCGCGTTGTGCCCCGTCTCGGTGTTCGCTGCCAATGCCCCGCTCAAAAACGTCGGCCCAAGGTTTATCGTGATGCTCGCGAACCAGATCATGAACGTCCCGAATAGCACGCACTGAAAATCATCGCACAGAGCTCAACCACACCGCCATATCACCGCAATCAGCTGGCCGGCTAATTAGCCAGCCGCCTCGTTTTATCGAATTATTTTACGCTAGATCGCCGGTATCGATCTTGCGAGTTTCGAGGGACTTTGAATTCGCGTCAACGGAAATCACGGTGCAACGAAAATGACGTTTCTTGTTGATTTTGTTATTCATTTTTCCATTGTTCCGAACGTTCCATTCTATTAATTATTTTATTATTCATTTTATTGGTCGTTTTATTATTGTATGAGTACGTTGCAAAATTTATGACACTGTCGTTATGCTTTAGATAAATTAACGGTCCCCGGAAACGTCAGTTTAATGACAGAAACATGAATGATAGAGATATGTTGTGGTAGGTCCATTTATTATTTATTTTATTACGCAGTCTATTGTTAATTTTGTTATTCATTTTTTTTTATTAATTTCGTTATTTTGTTATTTCTTTTGTTATTCATTTTATTATGCACTTTATTATTTATTTCTTTATCATGCAATTATATTACAACAATTATGGAATCGACAGGTTACCATTTTGTATTCCATAAATTGCCAAGTTGCCATTATTGCGACCTCGAGTGACTTTTACTGTTTAATGGTTCTCAGTAAATGTCACTTTAATTACAGGAATAAATAAATCACGGTGGCTTCATTTATCATTCATTTTATTATATTGAGCATTTACGTTAGAAAATTGGGGAAATTGACTGGCTCTGATTTTTGTTTTGCATAAATTACAAGGCTCTGCATATTGATATTTCAAGTGGTTTTCATTACAGTATAATCATCGATGGTATCAATTTAAATTATATTGATAAACAATATCAATTTACAATATCAATTTAAAGACAGCAACGAAGAATTATTTTAGTTCCGCAGTCATTGCACTATAAAATTTGCAAAGCTGTAAAATTGTTAAAGTCTCTATTTTATATTCTCGTGCTCGAAAATTCCTAACAAGTTTCTATGGAAATTGCAACTTTGTTGCTATCGAATTGCGAAGTAAAAAAGAAATTGACGTCTGCCATAAGGAAGTAATAGTTCCATTAAAAAGACGCGGGCGAGCTGTAATTTCATTGCAACGTTCTACGCAAGTGGTAATTCCGCTGCAGTATTGTACACGAGCTACAATTCTATCTCAGACAATTGCAATTATTGCTACGTTGTGTACAGGTTGCAGTTTTATTTCGACGTTCCATGGAGGTTGTAATGTTTTGTGCAACGTCGACGGCCAGTTGAAATTTGATTGAAACCTTACGTTGCACAAGTTGCAGTTTCATTTAAACGTTACACGCAACTTGCAGTTTTATTTCAACTTTGAATGCAGCTTGTAATTTTACGGCAACGTTATATGCGAATTGCATCGATATCGCAACGTTACGTGCAGATTGTAATTTTATGGCGACGTGATGGGCGCGTTGTAATTTCGTCGCAGCTTCGTTGCAATTTCATGGCAACGTTATATGCAAATTGTACATTTTATGTCAACATTGTGAGGAACTTGTGATTAAATTGCAACGTCACTTGCGAATCCAATTTTAGCACAATGTAGAGAGCAAGTTGCAATTTCGTTGCAACATTGTACGCAAGCTGCAGCCGCGTTTCAACGTTGAAGGCAAGTTGTAACTTGATCAGAACGTTATCTACAAAATTATAATTTCACTGCATCCTGGAACGCCTATCTACAACGTTATCGCAACATTCTGCAGAACTTAAAGTGCCGTCGCAGTTCCGTTCAGACGTAAAAAATCGTAACTTTTTTTATCGAACTCAAGACCCACAGGACACAATGTCGAGCGAACGAATAAAAATGTCCACCGGAAATGTTGAAACGAGAATAGCGAGTGCGGGATCGCGTCGCACCTGGCCGGGGCGGTTGCAACGGCGCGCTGCATCAAAAAGCGGTGCATCAAAGGACCGGGATTGCAGTTCGAAGGAAACGTGCAAGATGGCGGCGGTATTGATCGCGTAATTGACCGAGGAACGAGGCACTAGACGGCGCATTTTCCTCGCCGTGTTTCTGCTGACCACGTGCATCTCCGAGGCTCCCCGTTCCCCGAACCCCCTTCGATAGCGATCGACGTATCATAAACCTAATTTTCCGACGATCTTCGCCGCCGCGATCCGGGCCTTTGTACGGCGACAGCCCCCGCGCCCCGGAAATCGTCGCTCGAGATTTTCGGTCACCGGCCACGGTCGCCATCTGTTCACGGTGACTTCGCGTGTCCCGTCACGTAATAGGGACCCAAGTATTCGGATCGCGGGCGACCTGGAAATCGCCCAGATCCTCGATCATTCAGGCCATGATCGACGGGAAATGGCGAAACCCGCGCCGCGACTTTATCCAATTTTTTCGGGTCTCGGCGATTTAAAAACCTCTGGCACGAAACCGGCTTGCTTCGTAAATGTACGAAAATTTCCTGCTAAGTTCAGAAAGGAGTTTGTAATGTTTCCTCCTTAAATTCATAACGACATCAGCAATTTTAATTAAATTATTTGTACGACACTTTGGCGATTTTAAAGAATCGCCGGTAAATTTTGGACGAACACGATCTTGGGGAATTTTTTGGGGAGAAACGAATGGAGCTTTTTCTTCGACGAATGGCTCATTCGAAAGTACAAATGTTGCACTACCTGTAGCAATTTTCTTGTTGCAAAATGTTAGCAAATAACGGAGCAGCGTTAAAAAGAACAAAAGACGAGATCACGCTTTTACCATGAATTTTATAAAATAATAGGTAAGAAAGGTTTGCAAAAAAAGATTCGCGATCTGGGCGTTACTATAGACTTGGGAAAAGTTGCAAATGATAAGGAACCGTGGATGGGGTGTCCCGAAAAAGTTTCGGGAAAGGCCGGTGACGAAGCGATTTGTTTCAGAGCGAAACTTTGTTTAAGAACCTACCGAACAAAGGATTGGAAGGATAAGGAACAGATCTGGGATAATGAAGAAACTTCGGGAACGAGGAAAATTTACAAAGGAACGATTATCCTTGCTAATTGGACGACAAGTTGATTCAGTCGATCGATTGTCTCACTGGGTCGAACCGCCGCGAGAGTCCACCGCACGAAAAATAACACGGATTCGCCTAATCCGGTTTCTGTCGGATTTCGAAACATTACAATCGAAGCCCTGAGATTTTCAAAAATTTAATTCTCCTTCGTTTCTTTGTCTATACTGCACTTATTATATTTTTGAAGATATTCATTCTTCAAAAATATCTTCAGTATTGGCATATTTTTTTGAACGAAAACAAATGTAATTCTCTTTTCTTGTAAATTCAATTGAGATCTTTTATTTGTTATATTCTTGTCACAGAAATGTTGCTTAGAGCTTTTATTCGATCTACTAAAATGTTGGTTCATTCTTCAATTGAAAACAAAATCTCCTTTTTGCAAATTTAATTAAAAATATACTCAGCATAATTATTAACGTTATTTACAATTGTACGTTAATTTAAAATGTTGGTTAAGTTTTCGATTCGAAACAAAAGTTTTCCTATTTTCGCAAATTTGATTAAAAATACATTTCTCATCATTTTTGCAACAATGTTGTTTAGACACTTTATTTAAACTCGAAAAGGATTGGTTCATTTTTCGATTTAGATATTTTCAAAAATCTTCTCTGGCCTCATTCAATTTTAGAAATTATGTAAAATAGTATTTAAATGCTTTCCAAAAGTTATTGGCAACTTGTTATGCAAAACTAGCGTACAATTGCGAAATTTGCTACTTTGTGCAATTTCTACAGCATTTAAAAATTCGAAAGACAACATTTCTCAAATTTGTCTACATTGTTGGAAAGTGTTCGCTCTGTTTCATTTCCTTCGAGCTTAATTAAAAAAGTAGAAACTATTTTGCTACAAATGGAAGCAAAAGTATGTCGAGCATATTTAGTTTCCTGACTTCCTTCAATTTTCAATATCCGTTTCCCGGCATATTTTCTAATACGAACTAAAAGAGAAAACAATTTTGTTGCAATTTAATATATAACTGCCATAAGGGATGATGAGGCTCGTTCGGTTCTGAGAAGTGTTACTTCATTTTCCGCGCGAGAAACATTGATAGATGCCAGCGTAGCCTCTCTTCGGCCTTTCTTGAGAATGCCATTCTTTCACTTGTGCACACATCCTCGGCGGCCGGTACCGGGTCTCGGTGAACTTAATTAAGAACTTGAGTGACATAAAAGGCCTTTTAACCGAGCTCAAGTTTCGGATCGATTTAACAAGTGTAAGCGCCGTCCCAGCGCGATGCTTTAATATAAAACGCGTCCTCGACGGCAAACGGAAGTCGTAAGTGCCACTCTAAATTTATTTGCAAGTAGCTGGCTCGCCATAAAATAACATAATAATCATCGATTAAAGATCTACTCACAACCTTCCACCTCCTGAAAAGTGCATCGTCTCAATTAAACTAAAACGAAAGGCGTTGAAATACCTGCGCCAAGATTTTACATATTTATAAATAAAATTTTCAAAATAGTTGAATACAGCTACGAAAATATGCAATACGATTTTCTGTCGTACCCGAATAATTTATTTATATGTCATCAAGTCGTTTCGATTGTACAAAGAAACATTGTTGCAAGTGATGCGCGACGAAAGAAACAATCAAGACTCGATAAAATTGAGGGCACATCGTTGCAAATAATAAACAGTTGAGAAAATACTTAAAATGATGTTCGATTAGCAGTGAATAATTTACTTGCTCGTAATTAAATCGTAACGATTGAATGAAGAAAATATTGTTGCAGATGTCGAACGATAAAGAGGAAATATTTCCTACGATCGAACAAAGGAAGGAAACATTGTTGCAAATAAGAAATATATAGGAATTATTTTTCACTATTCTCGAATAATTTACTCGTTTGCAACTAAGCAATGTTAATTAAACGAGGAAACATTGTTGAAAATGATAAGAAACAATTCTCACGGTCGAACAAGAGGAAAGAAACATTGTTGCAATTGATAAG